ATTTCCAGCCTACGACAACCTGGAAGGCTGACAGGAAAGGTCTGTTGCACCAGTCTGAGAGAGAACTGCAGTCCAGCGCAAAATGCATCAGCACAGACTGGGCCCCAGCAAATCCAGAGCAGGCCTCAGAGGACTGAATCACAGGCAGCTGTGGCGGTTTCCAGACTTCTCAACCCACAAATGCCAGAGACAACTTAGAAGTTCAGTAGGAAAGGTCTGTCGAACCTGCAGTCTGGCCCTAGCCCTGGTGCAGTCCCAAGGCAACGGCGGCTGATTCCGGAGCTCTAGGCCCACACACAGCGGGGCGATCGACTGGCTGATCAGAGGGGGGTTACAGGGATTTCTTTGCTACCACTGAGGAAGGATTCTCTTGATTTACCTATGCATGGATCTGGGTCACAGTTCCGGGTGGCAGTCCTGGGGCAAGGAGGAGTGCTGGCCTGGTGGAGCTTGTAGTAGTGGTGGAGAGGGAATCCTCCTTAAGGTTCCAAGGCAGAAAAGAGTGCTTGCGGTCACTCACAGATCACAGCACAGGCCAGGAAAGGAGTAAACACCTCTCCTTTAATCAAACCACCTTGGAAGAACTGAAAATTTACAGGTCCCTAGAAGTATCTCTGAAAACAGCTGCACAAAACTCCCGAAGCTTGGGACAGTACACCCTCCACACTGGAAGCAGACCCCTACCTTAACAAAGAATTTAAAAGTCAAGTAACTGGCTGGGAAAATGAGCAAATAGTGGAAAAAAACTCAGACCACAGACTCTTTCTTTGGTGACGAGAAAGATCAAAACATACAACCAGAAGAAGACAACAAAGTCAGAGTTCCTATATGAAAAGCCTCCAAGAAAAATATGAATCAGTCCCAGGCCTTGGAACAGCTCAAAAAGGATTTTGAAAAGCAAGTAAGAGAAGTAGAAGAAAAATTGGGAACAGAAATGAGAGTGATGCAAGAAAATCATGAAAAACAAGTCAACAGCTTACTAAAGGAGACCCAAAAAAATACTGAAGAAAATAACACCTTAAAAAATAACCTAACCCAAATGGCAAAAGAGGTCCAAAAAGCCAATGAGGAGAAGAATGCCTTAAAAAGCAGAATTGGCCAAATGGAAAAGGAAGTCCAAAAGCTCACTGAAGAAAATAATTCCTTAAAAATTAGAATGGAGCAAATGGAAGCTAGTGACTTTATGAGAAATCAAGAAATTATAAAACAAAATCAAAAGAATGAAAAATAGAAGACAATGTAAAATATCTCAATGGAAAAACAACTGACCTGGAAAATAGGTCCAGGAGATGTCATTTAAAAATTATTGGACTACCTGAAAGCCATGATCAAAAAAAGAGCCTAGACATCATCTTTCAAGAAAGTATCAAGGAAAACTGCCCTGATATTCTAGAACCAGAGGGTAAAATGGAAACTGAAAGAATCCACTGATCACCTCTTGAAAGAGATCCCAAAAGGAAAACTCCTAGAAATATTATAGCCAAATCCCAGAGTTCCCATGTCAAGGAGAAAATATTGCAAGCAGCCAGAAAAAAACAATTCAAGTATTGTGGAAACACAATCAGGATACCACAAGATTTAGCAGCTTCTACATTAAGGGACTGCAGGGCTTAGAATATAATATTCCAGAGGGCAAAGGAGATAGAATTACAACCAAGAATCACCTACCCAGCAAAACTGAGCATAATCCTTCAGGGGAAAAAATAGTCATTCAGTGAAATAGAGGACTTTCAAGCATTCTTGATGAAATGATCAGAGCTGAATAGAAAATTTGACTTTCAGATACAAGACTCAAGAGAAACATGAAAAGGTAAAGAGGAAAGAGAAATCATAAGGGACTTATTGAAGTTGAACTGTTTACATTCCTGCATGGAAAGATGATATTTGTAACTCATGAGACCTTTCTCAGTATTAGGGTAGTTGGAGGAAATATATATATAGACAGAAGGCACAGGGTGAGTTGAATATGAAGGAATGATATCTAAAAAATAAAATTAAGGGGTGAGACAGGATTGTACTGGAAGAAGAAGAAAGGGAGAGGTAGAATGGAGCAAATTATCTCACATAAAAGAGGCAAGAAAAAGCTTTTACAGTGGAGGGGAAGAGAGGGGAGGTGAGAGGGAATGAATGAACTTTACTCTCACTGGATTTGGCTTTAGGAGAGAATAACATCCACACTCAATTGGGTATGGAAATCTATCTTACCCTACATGAAAATAGGAGGAAGTGGATAAGGGATGGGGGATGATAGAAGGGAGGCATATTGGGGGAGGGGCTAATCAGAAGCAAACATTTTTGAGAAGGGACAGAGTGAAAGGAAAGAGTAGAATAAATGAGGGGGGGTGAGATAGGATAGAGAGAAATATAATTAGTCTTTCACAACATGACTATAATGGAAGTGTTTTGCATGACTGCACATGTACGGCCTATATCGAAATGTCTGCCTTCTCATTGAGGGTGGGTGGGGAGGGAGGAAGGGAGAGAATTTGGAAGTCAAAGTTTTAAAAATGAATGTTAAAATTGTTTTTATATGCAACTGGGAAATAAGATATACAGGCAGTGGGGTACAGAAATCTATTCTGTCCTATAGCAAAATAGAAGAGGAAGGTAATAAGAGAAGGGGGGAGACAGAAGGGAGGGCAGATTAGGAGAAGGGGTAATCAGAATGCACACCGTCTTGAGGCGGGATCAGGGGAGAGATGGGGAGAAAATCTGGAACTCAAAATCTTGTGGAAGTGAATTAATTAATTAAGCAAGTAATTAAAATACTTTTAAATAAAAAAACTGGAGAAAAAAAAGGAAGGAATTGTCTGGTTTTGTTGAACTTTTCTCTCTTCTTTCCTTCATACTAGGAGGGGGAGGGAGGAGGAATGCACGAGGTAATACAAGTGATATAAAAACAAAAGATTTCAATAAAAATTTTATTTTTAAAAAAACCACAAGGATAGTGTATAAAAGGCACGGAGGCCGCAGATTCCCCACCTCTGTAGAAGAAGGCATTGCCCGGCCTCCCAGCTGCTCCACCACCAAGCCCCTCCGTCTCTCGCTCTAGGCCTTCTCTCTGGCTGCTCCCCCATACCCAAACATTCACTCTCCTCATTTCAACCTACTGAGTTCTCTGCCTTCCTCTGAATCCCAACCAAAATCCCACCTTCCACAGGAAGCCTCCCCTCATGATTACTCCTTATTTAGCTGGCTTATTTGTACATAGTGATTTGTGAGTTGTCTCTTCCATTATGAGCTCCTTGAGGCCGGGGACTGCCTTTTGCCTTTCTTGGTATTTCTAGTTCTTAGCCTGGCATACAAAAGGTGCTTAATAAATGCTTTAAATTCCAATTCCCTTCTCCTCATAGCTCTACCATTATAGGAACATTTCACACATTCCTTCCAGGCACTGCTCTCTTCACAAGACACTCCATCTCTTGTCCCCAGGCCTTTGCTCAGGCTGGTCTCCGTGCTAAAGGGTAATACATTCCCTCTTCGCCAAAGCCTCACAGAATCCCAAAATGCCTTCAAGGCCCAATTCAACCAATAATTTCCTATGTGATCCTCCATATAAGAGTGTCCCCCCCCAACCCACTCCCCAATCCAACAAAAATTATTATTTTTAAGTTTGTATATATTTCACACTTACTTCTATGTAGAAATGGTTCTTCCCTCCAGTAAAATGTAAGCCTCTTGAAGGCAAGGCCATTTGGCTGGGGTCTTCATAGCCCCATGTCTAGCCAAGTGCCTAGCATGTAGGAACCATTTAATAAATGCTTATGAATGAAAAAGTTATGAAATCCAACAATTATTAATGATGCAGTCAAAACTAGCCCACGCTACAAGACATAAGGCATTAGACGAGCTCCCTGGGAACTCTAGACATTCTCCTGAATAGTCATGAGATAACTTAGCAATATATACACTCACATTAAGGCAAAGAAAGGCCTCAGCCCCTCCTTTTTACAGAGAAGGAAATGGAAGCCCAGAACGTGACCCTTACACACATTCCAGAAGCTTGCCATTTAAAGACATTTTACAAAAATTCTCATTATAACGTGGCCAATTAGCCCCTGAATATCTCTCCAGGCACACGAATCTAGCTAGCTAAGATGTCTCTTGCATCACATAAGTGTCTCCATCCATCCCCAGGATTCAGAAGTCTCCAGTTCACGACACGGCCTACCCAACACCATCAGGGTTTCCCAAAGAGCATTCTGTGGGTGCCAACCTCCCTCCTCACTGGATCCCCATCACCTGGCCAGGGTTGTCTCCATGTAGTCGGTCACAAGAATCCCACGCATTGGAGACCCAACCAGCCAACGGAGGGCTGGAGTGGGATTTCCATTTGCAAAGGACAATGGCATTCACTTGGAATCACGATACACCCCAGGCCACTAAATGACTCCTGCTAAAGTCTGTACATAGGGGCAGCTAGGTGGGTAGATCACCGACCCTGGATTCAGGAGGACATGAGTTCAAATCCAGCCTCAGACACATAACACTTACTAGCTGTGAGACCCTGGGCAAGTCACTTAACCCCATTGCCTAGCCAAAAAAAATTAAACAAAATAAAGTCTGTACATAGGAAGAGTTTACCTACCCACAAAAAAGGGGATAATAAGAGCACCTGCCTCCAAGAATGGTTGTGAGGACTGAATGAGATGATATTACTAAGCACTTAGCACAGTGCTTGACACATAGTAGGTGCTTAAAAAGGCACCTGGGTGGTGTAATAGATAGAACACTACTTGGAATCAGGAAGACTCAGTTCTATAAGTTCAAATCCAGCCTCATACACATACTAGCCCCAGAGCAAGTCAGTTAACCATGTCTGCCTCAGTTTCCTCATCTGAAAATGAGCTGGAGAAGGAAATGGTAAACCACTCCAATATCTGTCAAATGGGGTCACCAAGAGTCAAACACAAGTGAAAGGGCTGGACAACAAAAGGTGCTTAATAAGTGCTTATTCCCTCTCTTCCTTTTCCTCTTCCAGCCCTGGCTTCACAGCTTACCTCCAGAGGCCCCTTGTTGAGACACTGCACCGGTAAGATGGAAACATGGGGATTTTCTCCTCCTTCTGATGGGTACATCTGGAAATTCACTCTCTGATACAGAATCTGAAAGGAGAACAGATGACAGTCTGTGTTGGCTCTGGAAGCTTCAACTCTCCTCCCAATTTACAGTCACCACATTTTGATTTTCCTAAGCAGGATGAATCTCAACTTTGGGGGAAAACAGCTGCTCTCTCCTTAGAGAGGTGCTCAACTTCCTCCCATGTTTCCATTAAGCCCTCACCCATGTTTTCTAGGAATATGGAGGCCTCTTTACGAAGTAACTGAAAATCCTGACCTGGAATACGGCTTATGAAAGACTGTGGAAGAGAAGCAAGGGGTCTTTGGGGCTCCTGACCCTAACTGGGCTTTTGTTTCATCAGGTCAAGTTATGCAATTTCCCACCATTTTTTTCCACATAAGATGCAAAATGTATGAGGGACCAAATATTTCGTCCTTTGCTTTGTATTCTCGGCACCCAACACAATCCACGCCCCCCGGAGGTGCTGGTTAGTTGGCAGACTTTTCTTGATCTATTCTGTCTTTCTTGATGTCTACCAGAAAACAGACAGACTGTCACAAGTCTATGTACACTCCCCTCCCCTTCTCCTCCTGGATTTCTTGTTCCCTATTTTCAAACAAGTGACACTTGTTTCTTAACTGGACACTCTCTTCTCTCTAAGATTCTGAGACACACCCACCCCAGCCTCTCCTGGTTCTCCTCCTCCTTCTCTGACTGCTCCTTCTCAGTCTTTGTTGCTCAATCTTCCTAATCATGGGTGTCCCTCAGGGGCCTGTCCTGAGCTCTCTTCTCTTCTTTCTCCTCATTGGGTGCTCTCATCAGATCCCATGTATTTAATTCCCATCTCGACGCTGAAGACTCTCAAATCTACCTATTCTGATCCAAACTCTCAACTGACTTCCAGTCTCAAATCTCTAATTGCTTATTGAATGTCTCAAACTGGATGTCCAGTAGACACCTGAAACTCAAAATGTCCAAAACTGAACTCATTATCTTTCCCTCTAACCCTCCTCTTTTCCTGCCTTCCCTGTAACTGTCAAGGGCAACAGCCCCCTCCCAGACCCTCAGCCTCCCAACTTAGGAACCATCCTAGACTCTTCACTCCTTCTCACCCCGCCCTCCAATCCAATATGGTGCCAAGGCCTGTTGATTTCACCTCCGCAGTATCTCTGGTCGATTTCACCTCTACAGAATATCTGGTCAATCTCACCTCTGCAACATCTCTGGTCGATCTCACCTCTGTAGCATCTCTGGTCGATCTCACCTTGGCAACATCTCTGGTTGATCTCACCTCTGCAGCATCTCTGGTAGATCTCACCTCTGCAGCATCTCTGGTTGATCTCACCTCGGTGGCATCTCTGGTCAATTGCACCTCGGCAGCATCTCTAGTCAATTTCACCTCCAGCATCTCTGGTTGATCTCACCTCTGCAGCATCTCTGGTCGATTTCACCTTGGCAGTATCTGTGGTCAATCTCTTTTCTGCAGCATCTCTAGTAGATCTTACTTCTGCAGCATCTCTGGTCAATCTCACCTCTGCAGCATCTCTGGTCAACTGCACTTCAGCAGCATCTCTAGTCAATTTCGCCTCCAGCATTTCTGGTTGATCTCACCTCAGCAGCATCTCTGGTAGATCTCACCGCGGCAGCATCTCTGGTAGATCTCACCTCGGCAGCATCTCTGGTAGATCTCACCTCGGCAGCATCTCTGGTAGATCTCACCTCGGCAGCATCTCTGGTCGATTTCATCTCTAAAGTATCTGTCATTGGTTTCACCACTGCAGCATCTGCCCAATAGGCCCCTTCTCTCCATATGCAGGTCCTCACCACCTCATTGCAACAGCTGCTGGGCAATCTGCCTACCTCAAGTTTCTCCCCACTCTAGTCCATCCGCCAATCACTAAAGTGATTTTCCTAAAGCACAAGTCCAATCATGTCAACCCTGCTCAGTAAACTGCAGTGGCTCTCAACTGCCTCCAGGATCAAATACAAAATACTCTGTTTAGCATTCAAAGCCCTTCAACCCCATCATTCTTTTTCCTTTCCAGGATTCTTATGCCTCACTCCCCACCACGTATTCTTCAGTCCAGTGACCCTGGTCTCCTCACTGTTCCAACAACAAGAGCCTCCTTCTCCTGGCTCTCGGTGTTTTCTCTGGCTTCCATGCCAGGAAGGCTCTCTTTCCTCATCTCCATCAAGCAGCTTCCCTGGCCTAAGTCCCAACAAGACTTAATTCTAGCACCTTCATTCTGCTGATTATTTCCCATTTATCCTGTGTATAGCTTGTTCTTACATATTTGCCTGTTGTCTCCCTGTTAGATTGTAAGGTCCTTAAGGGTAGGAACTGTCTTTTGCTTCTTTTTGTATCCCCAGTGCTTAGCACAGTGCCTGGTAATTAATAATTAGTAATAACTAATTAATAGGTGCTTAATACATGTTTCCTGACTGACAGGAGATGACCACACATATTAGGTACCTAACAGATGTTCATTTTTAATGACTATCCCATGCATAACAAATGTCTGATAAAACGAATTTATGACATAATTAAACCTTTTCCTGTCTGAGACTTACTTCTGTCTGGAGAGAACTGCTTGCTGCCAGAAGACACTCGATGGAACTGGGAGGACAATGTGTCAGGGCAAAAGCCATGAGTTCCTGGCGAGCAGCCAAGTCCTGGAAGCTTTCACACTGTCCCAGCTGGCTACAGACATCCCAGCTCGGAGAGTAGCCTGCAAAAAGAAGTTGCACGAGAAAGGAGGATTCTGGGAGCTCTCATCCCACCCAGAGGCAAGAAGTGACATTCTCACTGGCCCCAGGCTCTCAGGGCAAGTCTGAGTAACCTGAAGGATGCAGAAAGGCCCATCTGACCGGGAAACCACTAAGAGTGACTGACAGCCTTCCCAGCTCAAGGCTGCTCCAATGGGTAGTGGAACTGGACAAAAAAGCGGTCCCTGAAAAGCTCTGCTGGGTTGTTGTTACAATTACTGTGGTGACTGTCATTATTGCAGGTATCATCATTATTGTTGTTATTGTTATAATCGTTGCTATTATCACTGTTGTTATTGTTATAATTATTCTTATGATTGTCATTATTGATATTGTTATAATCTATTATTATCATTATCATTCTGGTTACCATTACTATTATTAACTAGTAAGGCACTGAGGCCAGGCCTCTTCTGACTCTAGGTCCCGGGTCTGCACCTGCATCCCCCTGCCCTGTCTCCATCTAAAGGCCCAAACACTAAAAGACAGAGTTGGGGAAATCTAAAGACTAACACGATAGTTTGGACACCAAGGACTAAAGCTTCCATCAGAATGATTTTTTTCCCTAACTACATAAATAAATAAAACACTCAAATAAGAAAAGACAACTACTATCAAGTTGAAGATAAAGTGTCATGGTCCAAAATCAAAAGCCCTCTCCCCCAGAAAGCAAGAATTATGTGGGAATCAGTGCCCCGGAATCCAGGAGGAAACGGCCCACGTGGTGGCTGATTAAAAGGAGCCTCTCAAACAGGAGGCAGACAAGGCACAAGAGGCCTCACCTCACCTCACCTCACCTGCAGCAGACTTCCTTTTGGCCACACCCAGAACAACAGCCTGATTCTTTAACGAGGTACTTAGCCTCCAAGCCAGGGGCAGGCCTCCTCCTAGACTACAAGTTGTAAGGTAGCTTGACCAACCCAGGCAACGGTCATCAAGCTTCCCGGGGACAGAAGCTCTACCAGCCTCCACAGCGACTGGATTCTCAGGTTCAATGTGGAATGCCTAAGATTGGGAAGCATGGACGCTGAATTGCCTTAGTACAAACGTTCTATTTCTGACAGAAAAATCAACAAAAATGACGTGAATGTTCAGTAGGTGTTTACGTGAAGGGGGACTCAATCATGCAAATTTTATAACTAGTTCATGCAATGAGCACAAACCACGCAATATAAAATGACTCATGAAATTATGAACATGTCTTTAACACGGCATGGAAAAAATCAACCCAATTCCACCTAGTGAGAGTGCCCCAGTGACCAGCATGACACCAGACACCAGCCTGTCTGACCCACAGACACAGGCCAGTGGGGCGTGTCAAGTGTAGGCTGTCCCCTTAGCTCCAAACACAGTATGGGACTGACCCGTGGGGCTGACCAACTACTGCGGCCGGACCTTCCCCGTCATTCACAATGGGTCAGGGCCTGGGCCAAGCCATCACAGGGCGCGTTCACGTTACCTGTGGCCATCAGCTCCTGACAGTGCATGCTTGCGGCTTTGCAGTCCTGGAAATGAAGAGCCTGTTGGACCAAAAGCACCAAAACCTGTCCCTTCCTTTCTTCATGGTCCTCACCTGGAAGCAGAACGAAGCCAATTCTCAGGAACACAGTCTTTCAAAATAATGGGAAGCACCAAAACAGAGGGGAATTGATGATGTGTCTGAGCAGGGGCTGGAGGAAGGCAGCCTTCCCGTGAAACCCAGACACAGGCCCTGGCAGGGGCCCAGAGGATTCCACCCTGCCCCACAGCAGCGCTTTCAGCACCAAGGAAGCAGGGCCTAGTGTCCATCAGGAACAGAGAAGGAGGCGCAGGTCACAGGAGGCTAGGAGGGCTTAAGTTAAGGCCCTTCATAAGTCGGGGGCTGAAGACATATGTGTGGGATGGACAAACAAGCTAATAGAATGGAACAGGCCTTTGGAGGCTGGTGATCTCTTCCTGGAGACCCAGCCCACTGACAGCTGTGACAGAGGAGCTTGGCGGAGGCAAAGCGAATCCTGAAAGAGATTTTAAATAGCTATAAAATATATTTCATGTGATGACTCTTCTAAGTATAATCACAAGAACTCTGTAGAATATAACATAATGCAATTATCAAATTAAATTTTAAATGGTTTCTTCCAAGAGGCTAATTACAGAAAAATAGGCCCAGCAATACACAATGGATGATATGTCTTTTATAATAAATATGTTCTTGCCAATTAACATTCATTAATCGTGGGCAGCACAAATAAAGGCCCGCTACATCGGGTGAGTCTTCATTCTTTCTCCCCATTGTGGATTAATAAAACCATTTCTGTAGTGATATGTTCAGTAACGTAAAAAGCAAAGTCATTACAGCCTCATATGTAAAGGGGAATGCAATTAACATGTCTTTAGCAGCTTTTATCCAGTAAAAAAATACAAATTGTTCTTAAGTCACGATTTCTGGCTCATGAGACTACAGACAATTTAACTCTTGCACTTATCCCAACGTGCAGAGCATTTCACAGAATCCCCAGCTCTCCGACACGGTGGTCCTGCGTAGGAAGCTCCAGACAACCAGTGTGCTGGAACCCACCCCCGGGGCTCCCCACAGCCCAACCTTTGCCCACAGACTCCCAGTGAGACCCAAGACATGAGCTTCCCATGCTAGCTCCTGCTCCTTCTGGACAGCTCCTCACTGTAAGGAAGGTCCCTGTACAGGCCACCTCAAGCGGCCCTTCAAAGCCTTGTACTCAGCTACCGGGTCTTTGTTTCCCCGAACGAAATACACGTCAAGATGTCAAGGACCTTCACTACTGACCATGGCTTCTTCCAGTCTCATCTAACCTGTGTCACCTTAGCTGGAGGTAATGAGGCCTGAGCAAGAGGAGGTGAGCGGATTGGAGAGATGGCACATTCACACAGTACCTTCTGTTTGCAGAGAATTCTATGTTGTGAAGCTGTGTGTGTGTGTGTGTGTGTGTGTGTGTGTGTGTGTGTGTGAAAGAGAGAGAGAGAGAGAGAGACAGAGAGAGACAGAGAGAGACAGAGAGAGAGAGACCTCATTTAGATCCTCACAATGACTCTGTGAAAAAGGAAAGACAAGACCTGGCACCTGATCTGGTGGGTGGACTGGAAGGCTGCTGGGAAGGAGCTACAATGAGCTCCATGTGGGGGCCATCGTCACAGAGATGATAACTGAGCAGAGAAGATGGGAGGGGAGGGGAGAACAGGGGAGGAACTACCACACTTAGCAGTCAGGACAGGAAGCTGAGAAGGGGTGGTCATAAGTCACTCTCACCCTCCCTCATTGTCCTCTGAAAACACAGAAAATATCAACCCAGGAAAAACCCTGAGCCAGAAAAAAGACAGGGCACAGCAGGTCTTGTAGCCCAGGAAGCCTGGGGGATTAACGGGAAAGACTCCCCTCGCTCTGGGGAATGGGAAGCAGTACAGACAGGGCTGAAGCGTCCTAGAAAGCCAGCAGCAAGCCCCACCTCAGCATACCAGGGGGAGATCCTGAGACCCAGGAAGCTCCAGGGTGGAGCTTCAAGTTAATTAATTAATTATTGCTCCCAGGGCTCACGTGTCCTCTCAAACTCCCGGCCTCTGAAGACCCTTGAGCTCTGGCATCACTTCACTTCAGCCACATACAAGGAAGGTCCCTCACCTCTAATCCTTGTACCGCCATGATGGGGAGGAACCGCCAGGCAAGTGCCAACACCAGGACCCCTGAAAGCCTCAACACAGGCAGGGGAACCAGTAGACACCAGCTTGGAAAACTACCACGGGCAGCGGCGTTCTCCAGCAGCCAAATCACGCAGTACCTCAACACAGCTCTGGGAAGCACAACTCCAGAAGGCAAAGCTCCAGGCTGACAGACATCCACCAGCAGTGAAACATCCCTGTGCAAGGCCCAGGCCAGCAGGAGCCAGACATTCAAGTGCAAGGCCCCGGGGAGCAGCAGAAGCAGCTTGGGTAAGTGCCCCCTTCACTACAGTGGGAGAACTCAACTTCTTTCTTCCTTTTTTTTTTTTTAAGTCAGGAAATAGGCAAACACCACGATCAAAAAGCAGGAACGGAAAATGACCACAGATTCTTATTTTGAGGAAAGGGAAGATCGAGGCACAAATTCAGAAAAGGACAACTTTGTTAATATACTCATATCCGAAACTTCAAAAGGGAATATGAACTGGTCTCAAGCCCAAAAAGCCTTCTTGGAAGAGCTCAAGAAGGATTTTAAAAGTCAAATAAGAGAGGCAGAAGAAAAACTGGGGAAAGAAATGAGAGCTATGCAGGAGAGAGTCAATAGCTTGGAAAAGGAAGGACAAAAATTAACTATAGAAAACAAGTCCTTAAAAAGTAGAATTGGCCAAATGGAAAATGAGGCACAAAAACTCACTGAAGAGAAGAACTACTTAAAAAGTAAAATGGGCCAAATGGAGAAAGAGGGACAAAATCTAATAGAAGAAAACAATTTGTTAAAAATTAGAATGGGGCAAGTAGAAGCTAATGACTATGAGAGAACAAGAATCAGTCAAACAGAAACAAAAGAGTAAAAAAGCGAAAACATAAAATACCTCATTGGTAAAACAATTAACCTGGAAAATAGATCCAGGAGAGACAATTTAAAAATTACTGATCTACCGGAAGACCTGATGAAAAAAAAGAGAGCACCATCCCAGAAGCCGAGGGAGGAAAGCGGGCTGGGCCAGAGGATGACAGAGGGTGTCAGAAACTCCACAGAGAGCCGGGAGAACAAGGGCAGGGCAAGGATTCCTGGAGTCTGGGGGACCTGGGAGAAAGGGTTCTAGCTGAGCAGTGGGGTCTGGAGCTCAGCTAGGAGACGGAGGGAGAGAGGACATCAGCTTGACAGAAGGGCAGTCACGGAGACGACCCTGCTCGGTTTTGTGGCTGTTCGGGGGAGTCTGGAGGCAGCAGCAGATGAAGCCACGGACAAGGAGAGCGCAAAGGAGAGATGGAGGAGACGAAGAAAGGAGGATTGGTGTGGCAAGGAGAATGGAATCCAGGATGAGGAGGGGGAGCTGCATCGGTGTCCCATCCCGAGGTGTGAGATGAGGAAAAGGAGGGAGCTCACCTCCGACGGGCGGTGCTACTTTCTCAGCAAGGTCAGAGGGGAGGTGCTCTGCTAAGCAGAAGGAAGGCGTGAGGACGTCTGAGGACACAAAGGCTGGGAAGAGTCTCTAGAGTTAACCGGGGAGACTAGGGGCTGCCAGGCGGCAGGGAGGTCCTGCTGAGATCAGATAACAAAGCCTGTGGTGACCCTGCTGGACAGCGGCGGGTGACGTCCTCCAGAAGCCTGTGAGTAGGAACTGCAAAGAGGGAGGACGGGAGGGGCAGCAGCCTAGAGTGTGGCCACAAGGAGGGGAGAAATGACGGGGATTCAAGGGGAGCTGACCTGGGATGAGGCAGGGAGGGCACCAGGCAGGCAACCAGAGGAGAAGGAGGAATGGAAGGCCTCAAGCTCATGGGAAGAGCTGAGGCCCAGGCTGAGGAGGCGTGAGAGACTAAAGGATGAAGTTACGGTGGGAGTGTCAGGATCATGGCGGTACAAGGATTAGAGGTGAGGGACCTTCCTTGTATGTGGCTGAAGTGAAGTGATGTCAGAGCTCGTGGGTCTTCGGAGGCCGGGAGTTTGAGAGGACACCTGAGCCCTGAGAGCAATAATTAAATCAACAGCACCATCCTTGGAAAAGGGTGAGTCAATCCATTTCCTGACAGCTTTCCCCACCCCATCCCTTCATCCCGGAGACATCCCAGACCAGCCCACCCCTCCCTGCTCAGCACTCCCCGTCAAAAGGTAAAACCCTTGAGGGCAAGGACTGAGGACAATAGCTTCTCTGTATTTCTGGCCCCAGCCCTGGGTCCCACACTGCTGGTGAGTACAGGATAGACACTAGAAATAATGAATGAAAATGTATGGCTTCATTCATGCTCATATCCAAAGCTTTTTTAATCAAGCTGGCTGAGAATCAGAGAAAATTCGAGCATTAGGAATTACAGCTGCTCTTTTCCTGCCCAGAAGCTACATCTGAGAAGTGCCAGACCCACAGTGCCCGGGCCTCTAGTCCCTTGACTGGAAGCTCCTTGAGGGGAGAGACTTTCTTTCGGTTTCTATTTATATTCCTAGCCCTTCACACAGTGCCTGGCACACAGTAGGCTCTTAATAAATGCTTTATCTAATCTAATTCAGAGTGGCTATGAACTTGTCTTATTTAAATATTCATCGTGTATCTGTAGTTCAATATAACTGGTTTCCTGTGTAATTCTCGGCACTTTAGAAAGTGCGCTTAAAAACATTTTTCTGAGAAAGGATCCAGATGACTTCAGTAGCTGACTGCCACAGGGGTCCAAGACACACAAAAAGCTCTGAACTCTGGTCTGAAACATCTAGTCTGGGCCTCTCATTCTACCAACAAGCAAGTGGATGCCTCGTGACCTAAGTAACTCGCCCAAAGTCACAGCTCGGCAGTAATAGGGCTAGATTCCAAGACTGACGTTCTGTTCCAGGACTCATTAGTCAATAAACATTATTAAGTACTAAGTACCAGGTACTATACTAAGCAAGAAAGAAGGGAAGGAAGGAAGGAA